TAGATCAATAATTTTTACCATTGCTTTATAAGATATAATCGGTAGTTTGCTATTAGTTATGTAACTGTAAAAGAAATTAATCTGCTCTATCTAGATGGTTAGTTCAATTGGAATTATATTATTGTACAAATAAATTTTATTTCTATAGTAAGACTAAAAAAAAGTTTCATTTAAAAGTTCTCTGAGTGGTTGTCTTTGAAAATTTCAGTAAGTTAAATTGAAACTGTATTCGGCAGACATTTACTAAGCAGTTCCTTGGTGTCAAATTTTATCCAATGCCGTAGGGATGTTAGGTTCATTATGATGATAAAGATGAATAAGACAATTTGGAAGAGTTTCACATAGAATGGTAGAATATTAAATTAATGCTTATTAATTTATTAAGATGGCTGCTGTGTAGGTGTCTTTGTTAGATTTCCAGGGAGGGAAATGTTACCGTTCCCTCAGTTTAGAGTTACATGCTTTGATCGAAGGGTATGCCTGCAAGCTTTCAAGTGTCTTCACTCTCATAGGAACTGAGACAATACAGTTACAATAATATGTGCATTCAGATCTCTCATATCATATTGGTTGACTTATGTGTGAAGTAACCAGAAATAACACAACATAAAATATTGCTGCCTGTTAAATTACATGATTCTATTTATAAATTATATACAAATTCACTGAAGAGAAATTCATGTGGATAGAGTATTCAGGAGGAAAAGAACCAGAGACGTGTCTTACAGAATTCAAATACTAGAGAAAAAAGAATATCATTTTGGGCAGGGAAATAACAAAACCGGTAGAACAACAGAAATGGATATGATATATTTGAATGGTCGTACAGAAAAATAGTGGGAAATGAGCCTCATTAAGTCATCTTTGGAGCCATACTTTCCTTAATATCTCAGGTTTCAGGTTGGCTATTCTGTTTTTGTTTTTCATTTGTAAAAAGGAAATCACACTACAAATTTTGTAGGGCTGTAGTGAGTACCAATAGAGGTGAAAATCTTCCAAATAATATAGCAGCACATTTTTGCCTCGTAATAGACACATTAATGCTAGCTATTACTATGACATTCATTTTTCTTTCCCCTTCCACCTTCCCAATCTAGCGCTGCAAACACAAGCAAAATTGTTTTAACACAATATACCTACTAACTGAGGATGTGGTAAAGACAACATATTGTTATTTAAAAATATATAATTTATTTTTTAGAGAAATTTTAGGTTTACAGATGAATTGTGCAGAAAGCAGACTTTCCTGGACCCTCTCCCTTTCCATTTCCATACACATTTTCCCCTGTTATTAACAACTTCCATTACTGTAGTACATTTGTTATAGTTGATGATTTATTATTGATACATTTATGATTAAAGTCCATAGTTACATTAGAATTATCTCTTTGTATTGTACAATGAGTTTTGATAAATGCATATCATGTATCCACCATTATAGCATCCTACAGAATAGTTTCACCACCCTAAAATCATTCTGTGCTCTGCATATTCAACACTATCTCAATTCTTTTGAATCCTTGGCAACCACTGACCTTGTACTGTCTCTATAATTTTGCCTTTTCCTGGATGTCATATAATTGAAATCATAAAGTGCGTAGCCTTTTCAGAGGCTCTGAACTTGACCCTCTAAATTCTCTGGTGTCTTTCACTTAGCAATATGCATACAAGTTTCCTCCATGCTTTTTCATGGCTTGAAAGCTCATTTATTTTTATAACTGAATAATAATATTCCATTATATGGATGTAATACAGTCTGTTTGTACATTAAACTTTTTATGAAATGTCTGAATGTGTCTATTTGTATCCTTTGTTTTAAATGGCTAATATCTTTCATAATTAAAAATATTATAGAATTACATAATTTCTATTTTTCTCTTTCATATTTAGAATATAATTTTTATTTTAAGCGATGCTAAATAAATTTTAAAAATTAATATATGACTATTCAGTCCTATTAATATATTCCTATATTACAACATTTTTGGAATAATGTAGCTGTGTTCTTTTAATATGTGTTATTTGAATTTTTTTCTAACTTTTTTGTTGTATATGAATTAGACATGTTTTACCATTTTTCAAGAATGCAATATATTATTACCTATAATAATCATTTTATACAATAGATCTCTTGAACCTCTTTCTCCTGTCTAACTGAAATTTTATTTCCTTTGGCTAGCATCTTGACAACCTTTCCCGCTACCCCTATAATCAGCCCATCCCCTAGTAACCACCATTCTTCGCTCTACTTCCTTTTTTTTTTTTTGAGATGGAGTCTCACTCTGTCACCAGGCTGGAGTGCAGTGGTGCAATCTCAGCTCACTGCAACCTCTGCCTCCTGGGTTCAAGTGATTCCCCTCCTTCAGCCTCCCAAGTAGCTGGGACTACAGACGTGTGTCATCACACGCGGCTTTTTTTTTTTTGTATTTTAGTAGAGATGGGGTTTCACCATGTTGGCCAGGATGGTCTCGATCTCTTGACTTCATGTTCCACCCACCTCAGCCTCCCAAAGTGTTGGGATTACAGGTGTGAGCCACCATGCCCGGCCTCTTCTCTTTACTTCTATGAAATTAACTTTTTAATATTCTATATAAGAAGAGAGTGGATGTAGTATTTTTACCATAAAAATGATAACTGCGTGAGTTAATGCATATGTTCATTAGCTAGACTAGTCATTTCACAATGTATATGTACTTCAAAACATGTTGTGTATACATAAAATTTTATCTGTCAATTAAAAAATAAAAAGTTACCACTTTATAGCATATTTGCTTATATGGTTTATATGTGATAAAATTTTGCTTTTCATGTGCCTAAGAGAAAGGAGGTACAGAATGAAGTAACATATGTATAAATTGTGCTGTGTAGTCAACCCTCCAAACAGGGACAAACTACTACTTTATGTTATTCACTTTTTACCTGAAGTCTATATTTCTTAAACTACCACTGCATTGGTCCATTCTCACACCGCTATAAAGAACTACCTGAGACCGGGTAATTTATAAAAAAAAAAAAAGAGGTTCAATTGACTTAGAGTTCTGTAGGCTGTATAGGAAGCATGGCTATGGAAGCCTCAAGAAACTTATAATCCTGGAGGAAGGGAGAGGGGAAGCAAGCACCCTCCTCACATGGCAGAGCATGGGGGAGGGGAAAGGAGGAAGTGGGAAGTACTACACGTTTTTAAACAACCATGTCTCCTGAGAACTCTATCAGGAGACAGCAGTAGAGGACTGGTGCTAAACCATCAGAAACCACCTCCATGATCCAATCACCTCCCACCAGGCCCCACCTTCAACACGTGTGGATTAAAATTCAATGTGAGATTTGGGTGAGGACATAGAGCCAAACCATATCAACTACTTTATTTCTGTTAACAAAGTTGTTCACTTTTTCAAACAATTTTTAGTTTCTCCCTTACGTCTTAGAGGAAGTACTGTCTCCTTCCTGGAGAAAATACTCTCTCTGCCTGCACTCTACACCTGAACCTCTAAATTCTGAAAGACTGTAATATTTCAATCGCTAGAGTTGTTTCTATACATTTCCCTTTCCATCTGTACAAATGAATGAATGAATGACTCTTCCATCATTCCATTGTTGGTTTTTGAGATGCACGTCATGGTTACACTCTAGGTGTAGACTCCCACAGGTTGACTTTATACCCTGGTTCCAATGATTAATTAACTCTATGAAAATGAATACGTTTTCTAACTTCTCAAGGTTTCATTTTCCTTATCTGAAACAGGGAATAATAGTAGGATTATGTAAGTTTTATGGGGAATGTGACAATTTCTGTGAAGTTCTTAACATAGTGCCTGTTTTACAGCTACCTAAAGAATATTAGCAATTATTATTTTAAATTGATATTTTCTTTGATTTATGAATATAAAATATGATGATGCTCTCCCCCAGAATTTTTAAAACCCTTTTTCCTGCTGGTTTTTAGAGAAATGTCTTTCTCTGTAGCTCCTCTCAAAGATATTCTTTCCAAGCATTTCAGTGTTCTTTCCCTGCATGCCACCAACACACAAATGCACAAAAACACACACAGAGAATAATATTGTCAACAAAGTTAGAAAAGTTTCTTTGTTAAGTCCTTTGATATTGCCTGAGACAAGAAAACATGGAGGAATAATTTCATGTTTTTATGTCTTTCTCTAACTCTTGACAGTGAACATTTTGTTCTTTTCTCTTTGAAAATTTTTATATTTATTAATAATAAAATGTAGCAATATAGTTTCTCATCATAGATGCTTTCGTTATTTTAAAATATTATAATTATTTCTTACAATATATTAGAGCTTAAGTTCATCTTTGACAGATGATTATAACCTGATGAGTGAAAAGCATTACTAATTCAACATGTTTAAGCTACCGTGGAAAATTAGCAACTTTGTGAAAATGGAAAAACTCATTTCCTAATGCAATTTAGGCAAGGCTGCAAGGATTTTCATTAAATAATATAAAACAAATTAGAGGTAGTAAACAGATTCACACCGAGAGATGTTTCAAACAATAGTTTAACTATTTAAAGACTAAAACCTTTTAACTGTATTCTACAGTTTTAAAATCAGAATGTCTCTTAATTCTCAGCTATGTAATTTGATGTAGTTTTTATTGCTATTATAATTTGATCAATGTATTAAGAAAATGATAGTTAATATTAAATAGATTTTTAAAGTTTAAAATAAAAGCAATTACGAGAAGGTTGGTAGCATAATTCATGTACTGTGTACAATAGTTGCTTCAGTTTTTTTATTCTATGAAGTGTATTTCTCTATGTACTTCCAGTAAACGCTGATTTGCTAATCCAGAAGAACATAGAAATGATTAGTGCAGTAAATCAGATTCTTTACTTCAGAGTAATGCTTTAAATTTTAACATAATCATTACTGAGACAATTAAGTGTGAAACCTTTGTTTTATTTAATTTGATTACTGATTTTTTCTTGTGACTGGAAACAAATTTTTTCTTTCCTTTTTTTTTTTTGTTTCTGTCTACAGAAAGCTGACCTTGCAGTTGCTCCACTGGCTATTACCTATGTTCGAGAGAAGGTCATCGACTTTTCCAAGCCCTTTATGACACTTGGAATAAGTATTTTGTACCGCAAGCCCAATGGTACAAACCCAGGCGTCTTCTCCTTCCTGAATCCTCTCTCCCCTGATATCTGGATGTATATTCTGCTGGCTTACTTGGGTGTCAGTTGTGTGCTCTTTGTCATAGCCAGGTAACATGCTCACTTTTGTGATTTTTTTGGCAATTGTTACCTCCTTTATCTAACTAATAATTGTCAAAAGTCACAATCAATTTTACTTTTTCTGTTCTTTATTTTCCACGGGGTGCTGAGAAATAATGAAGTTTTAAGAATTACATTCATTTATCAAAATGTACTGTCCTGTCTTTGTGGGCAGAGAGCATGCTGGTTGTGTCAGTAAGCTATAAGTGTTTTAGGGATTACCAGAATATAAAAGCTTTTTAAATCTATATGATAAATGAATCATTGCCTCACTTCAAAGATTTCTGATGCACCAAAACCAAAATAACATGTTTTACTAACTTGAGTTAATAATTCAGTTACAAGAAAAACCAAAGTACTAAAATTTAAAAGGAGGCCTTTTTTAAGGAACCAAAAAATTTATAATAAACGTTCTAACTATAAAAGGACTACCCTAGTATTCTACATAATGTATGGTTTTTTTCTTTTTTTCTTTTTTTTTTTTTCCCACAGAATAAATGCCACTACAAAAAGTACCTTATTGTCATTGACATGTAGGGTATGTTTCAAGTCATAGGATCAGAAGGTAAAATACCAGGCCAGGCATGGCGGCTCATGCCTATAATCCAAATACTTTGGGAGGCCAAGATAGGAAGATTTCCTTGAGGTCAGAGGTTTAAGAACAGCCTGGTCAACATAGGGAGACCCTATCTCTATGAAAAATAAAAATTAAGAAAAAAAGAAAAATGCCTAAATGAAAAATATATAAATTTTATTTTTTAATAATGGCCTTTAAAATCTGTGATACAGATCAATCTATGTTGATGGTATTACTTTATTTTACTCTCAGAGGTGGAAATCGTAATCATGTTTATTTATGCTTCCCTCACTATCAGACTTTCAACTGATAGATTATTTCAATATGATTTAATTTACTTTTGCTTTAATTAAGAAGATTAGTATTGTGCCTCAGGATTCATGACTCTATTAACATGGAGTTAAGCCACATACTCATTATATTCTTTGAATTTTTATATTTTTTAAATATCAAAAAGATAACTCTTAAAAATCAATTAGAATTCTACATATAATTTTTCATGGTGATAAAAATACCTATAAAGTATAAATATATATGTTTTGTGCTGTATAATCAAAATTAAATATGCAGTGTCTTTTCAATTATGTTACATAGATTCTTTTGATAAATTTATCAGTAAGAGTATTTGTAAAGAATTGAACTTATTTTTCAATAAGGAATTAAACATTTTTTTTCCAATGAAGTAATATATATATATTTTTTTCTAGTCATAAAAATCTTTAGTTAATTAAGTTAAAAAATGACTAAAATCAATTAGAAGTAGCATAATATTGGCTGGGTGTGGTGGCTCATGCCTATAATCCCAATACTTTGGGAGGCCAAGGTGGGCGGATCATAAAGTCAGGAGATTGAGATCATCCTGGCCAAAACGGTGAAATCCCGTCTTTACTAAAAATACAAAAATTAACTGGGCATGGTGGTGTGCGCCTGTAGTCCCAGTTACTCAGGAGGCTGAGGCAGGAGAATTGCTTGAAGCTGGGGGAGGTTGCAGTGAGCCGAGATCCTGCCACTGCACTCCAGCCTGGGAGACAGAGCAGGACTCCATCTCAAAAAAAAAAAAAAAAAAAAAAAGAAAAGGAAAAAAGTAGCATAATATTTTTATATATTTTATATATTTGCCCACAGATAATTTTTTACATATTTATATGTAATTATTTTGCAAATGCATTATTTTTACCTAATTAGTTAAATATTAAGAATTGTGTTCTATCATGAGGTCAGGAGATCGAGACCATCCTGGCTAACATGGTGAAACCCCGTTTCTACTAAAAATACAAAAAATTATTCAAGCATAGTGGTGGGCGCCTGTAGTCCCAGCTACTGGGGAGGCTGAGGCAGGAGAATGGCGTGAACCCGGGAAGTAGAGCTTGCAGTGAGCCAAGCTCGTGCCATTGCACTCCAGCCTGGGCGACAGAGTGAGACTCCATCTCAAGAAAAAAAAAAAAAAAAAGAATTGTGTTCTTCAGATAATTATTGTTCGCATTTGCCCAAAACTATGTATTGGAAGCATATTGCCCTATAGCATTTGAAGCTGTACGGTAGAGCCTATTAAAATTTTATGTGACTTTTGGGGTTCTCCCCACAGTAATGAGAATTTGGAGTATGAAGTTCCTAAACTTTTAGCTCCAGCTTTTTCCACCTTCTGTGAGAATAAAACAACCTTCACATATTTGATCATCTTTGGACCAGTTACATCTTTTTTATAGTGACAGACGCAGCCACTCTAGTTTATGTGTTCAGAGAAATAAGCGCAAGAGTTTCAGATTAAGCAATTCAATGACTAGAAAACTCTTCCGCCAGCCCACAGGCCAAACAGAAAACTAAATACTCCAAAATATAGAAAAAGGCTTCCTTTATGTCTGCATGTACCCTTGTTTTTTCTTAAATTAACAAATTTCCCAGGAGGATAGAAATAAAGCCTAGAGGAAAATGTCATGAGACAACTTCGAGGCAACTGTGTGGGCATTAATCAAGCTGAATTAGGTCTAACGGTACTTTTCTGGAGATCTTAAACACAGAGTTTTGGGTTACTTCAAATTTGTATTAGGAATTTTAGTTATTCCTAATTTGCCAAGCCCACGGCTTTTGAAGTTAGAGTCAAAGCAAATACTGAAGCATCTGGTTTCCTTTCCAGTTTACAAAAAGTACATTTGCAAATAGAGGCATATGGATGGATATGCACTTATCTAACTTTTCAAAATATTTCTATAACTCACTTGATAAACCATCATAGACAGCATCTGTGTAATTACGGTAATCGGTACTGATTTTACATGAAAGAAATTCAAGTACGTCATCCTATTTGAGAACATAAAGTCAGCCAATGTACCATTTTTTTAATACTGCTACTGCTTTTATATTTTGAAATGTTACTGCTATATTTTGTCATTAGTTATTAAGTGAACAGATAGGAAAATGATACTATTTCAGCTTCTTATTCAACAATTTCAAAACAAATTGCCTCATTAAAAATAATCAGTTTAAAATCTTCATTTGTGGGCAAATTAATAGATATCCCATTAAGTAATAATGTTAGACAAATTGTATTAAGTCATATATAATATTAGAGATTCTTGGTAAAGTAATAACACAAGAATAAATATTTTCTGGATTTTCTCAGAATATTTTTTTTCAATTTTCAATCTTAAAATCTTGTTTAAAATATTTCTAAATTTGAAAAAATAAAATTGAAAAATCAGATTAAAAGCAAAGTCTGAATATGGTCAATTTAAATTTTAAATTCTGAACATCCCAAATCAAATGAATTTGTTTAAAATCTACTCTGACATAGTATTGAACTTTTACTATAAAAGAAGTTTGTGATGGGCAAAGACAAATAAAATGCTCAAGTTTAAATTGCATAATTTAATTGCCTTTGTAATTTAAATGGAATCACTATCTGTTAGAATTTAAAATACATTTATTTTCATGCTTCCTTTAGCATTCTTATTTTACCTATCAAAAAATTATGTCTTATATAGAGGTCACTGATACACTCATTGACATCATTGTTGATGTCATAATTAACGTGGTATTTTATCTTTAAGTATATTCTTTCTCTCCATAACAATTATAGAGAAAAGAAAGATCATGTTTCAAAAAAATTCTCATGTATTTTATTTTCATTGAAAGTCACAGAAACAAAGGCATAAAATAACTACCACTTTAATAACAGATTTCATATTTATTATTAGAATTTACATAATATTAACTATTAGGGAATTATGTCATACTTTGCAATAAAAACGCTTTATCTCAAAACTAAATTATAATGAGTGATTTAAATATTGTCAAAATTTCTCAACATTATTAATTTTACTTTTGTTTTGGTCATCATCTTATATCGTCCCTGTTATTATTATTACAATTTACCTAGCATATTTTCTTAGGTACCAAACTACTCCTTCGATTGGTTTTCTGTTTCCTCTTTTGTTTAATTATTCTATCAACTGCTCACTCAATTAGTCAAATATTTGTTGAGCCTCTAGTAAGCACTAATTAGATCCCATAAAATATTAAAAATTAATTTCTCATTTATTCGTTTGTTTATTCAACAATATCTATTGGCTACCCATAAGTACTAAGAGTTGTACGAAATGCTTTAATCCCAGAATGAACCCAACTGAATGTGTTATTTTCTGAATAACTCACAATCAGTGCATATATCTGGCAATAAATATCTGTTAACCTTGAACAAAGTTATAATAATATTTAAATTATCCTAAATTCTGTATGAATGCCATGTATTTTACATACGTTTTTCTAAAAAATATCTTGTAATATATATTTTGCTGGAGAGAAACATACAACTAGAAAGGAAACAGGGCATGAGGAAGACTGTTAAGTTGTCATTAGACTAATAGATTAGAAGCTTATTGAATATCTGCTATCCTATCATATTAATATTAATTTTATGACAAATTAAGATCTAATAATAATTGTTAGAATTTAAGTTTTTCAAATTGAATTTAAAAGTAGATTATTTTGTGAATGCCTTTTAAAAATTTCTCCTCACTCTTATGTTAAGAAAAATCATCTAATAATACTTAATAAATGTTTTAAATGTATTTAACCAATATTAAGAAGGAGATGCATGGTGTTAGCTTTTGTCTCCATATAGTTTTATATTTGATGATCTCCTGTAAGCAGTTGTATTATTATTTATAGCATAATGACATAATCAGCATGCTTATCCGAATTAGCTCTGAATGCTTATTTAAGAGTAAGGATTAGCCTGGGATAGTGCTTTCTAGACATAGAATGACCTTATCCCAAGATTCTAACAGTAGCTCTTTGCTGACAGAGGATTAGGAAGAAATCTTGTCCATGATGGGTTCATACTTAGATTTTCCCCTAAATGTTTTTCCCTCTTTTTTCTTTCTCTTTTCTTTCACCTAGGCATATGATTATAGAG